CGGAACCCTCTCCCCCTGACCCCGCTGTGCTGTGTCCCCCAGGTGAAGATCTGGTTCCAGAACAAGCGCTCCAAGTACAAGAAGATCATGAAGCAGGGCTCCAGCGTGCAGGAGGGCGAGCACATGCACGGCTCCTCGCTGTCCCCCTGCTCCCCCGGCCTGCCCCCGCTCTGGGACGTCTCCATGGCGGGCAAAGGCGGCCCCCCGCTCCCGCCCGGCGGCTACATCAACAGCTTCGGCCCGTGGTACCAGCCGCACCCGCAGGACGCGCTGCCCAGGCCGCCCATGATGTGACAGCCCCGGCCCGCGCCGCACGGACCCGATCCGCGGAGCCGCCTGTCCTGATCGCAGCGGGCAGGGAGAAGAGCGGGCGCTCCCCTGGTCGGGGCCCCGCCAGGACCTCCCTAGGGCAGAGAAGGAAGGGGGTACCCCCGCCCCGGAGGGAGCCGCGGCTTCGCCCCCCATCCCCGCCGGGCATGGAAGGACCAGGGGGCTGGATCCCCAGCTGGTGTAAGGCCCAGGGAGCCAGGACCGCTTACACACGCTAAAGGGGTGTAAGGACACCCCCGCCACGCACACAAGATACAAAGAACACACACACAGATATGCACACACACGGAAGCACTAAAGGCGCAGACACGGGCACACACACAGATGCAGACACACACACATGCAAAGACAGACAGGCAGGTGGACAGACACGTGAGCTAGACAGTGGATCGCAACTGAGCAAAGGGTGCGGCGGTGCCAGCCCGCGGGGGGCGGACACGAGCAGCCCGAGAGTCTCCAACAGTAGCCCCCGAGTCAAAGCCGCTGGGCGCTGCGGCCTTTCCGGAGCTCCTGGCTCGGGGAGCGTCGCTCTCCCGGGTCCCTGCTGTCACCAACCGAGTGACAGCCACGACCTGGCAGCTCCGAGGGTGCCCCCGCTGTGCCCGGGGTGCCTGGAGACCGCCCAGCCGGAGCCCGCTGCTCCGAGGCTTTGCTTTTTGTTTTTTGTAGGAGCTCTCTGCAATATTACACCCCCTTCCCGCCGTGCAGGGAGCTCCTCCGAGAGCCCCGCGCCGCCCAGTAGCTGGGGGCCCCCACAGGCGCGTCTCTGTCCCGTGGCTCCATCCCCGCTCCGTGCAGGTGGGTCCCGCTTCCCCCGCACCCATGGCGGCTGTGCCTGTGCGTGTGTGCGCGCGCGCGTGTCTGTACTGGGGTGTGCATATGTGCGCGCGCGCGCGTGTCTGTGTCTGTGCACGTGTATATGTGTCTGTCCTGGTGTGTATGTGTGTGCATGCGTGTGCGTGTGTCTGTACTGGGGTGTGCGTATATGTGTGCGTATCTGTGCGTGTGTGTGTGTCTGTACTGGGGTGTGCGTATATGTGTGTGATTGTGTATCTGTGCGTGCGGGTGTGTATGGCTGTACTGGGGTGTGCGTATGTCTGTGTATCTGCGTGTGCACGTGTCTTTGTGTCTACTGGCGTGTGTGTGCGTGTGTGCACGTGTGTGTCTGTACTGGGGTGTGCGTATGTATGTGTCTGTGCAAGAGTGTGTGTGGGCGCACGTGTGTGTGTCTGTATTGGGGTGTGCGCATATATGTGTGTGTGTGTGTGCGTGCGTGTGAAGTGCTTTAATACCAGGATTATGTTTACAGGGAGTGATCTGAAAGAGCACGAGGAATGTATCCCCCCCGGTCGTTTTGAAGGCATGTTTCCCTCCCCCACGGAAAGGCAGAGGGCGGCTCCTTCCAGCCGCCAAGCCCCGGGCATTTCTTTCGGGGAGAACTGGCGATCGGACTGCCCCTCCCCGCCCGGCCCGGGCCCCAGCCCCGGGCATTTCTTTCGGGGAGAACTGGCGATCGGACTGCCCCTCCCCGCCCGGCACGGACCCCCCGGGCTCCCCCCGCCAGGCCGCGGCTGCCCCTGCCAGCCTTATTTATGAAGAGCGCCGCTCTGTCCGGCCAGGATGTACAGCTGTACAGTGCACAGCCTCCCTTCCCTGTTCTTTTTTATGCGTGTTTTATACCAGGCCCGCTCCGATGCCGCTTGTGTTCTTGTGAAGGAAGATCGCACCCCCTAGGAGGTGCCAGGCGGCGGGGGTCCTCTGTCCGGGGTTGCAAAATAAGTGTCTCATTTTTTGTTTAACCAAAAGGAGCATTGCAAGGAGCCCGGCCCGGCGCCGCGTGTGGAGCTAAGGGCTGCGGTTTGGGGTTGGGTTTTTTTTTAGTATCACCATTAAAAAGCAAACGAGTGGTTTCCAATCAGCGGCTGCAGCGTCTTGCTTCTTGCTCTGAGCGGGGCGCGATCCCACGATGGCTCCGCACGTACGGACCGGACCCGGCCACGCCGCTCCGCACCCGCGATCGGCCCTGCTCCCTCCCCTCCCCGCAGTTCTGATGCGCGGGACAGCCTGCCGCGGGATCCGGCCTCTGGCGGGGGGCAGGGGGGCCCGTCCCCAGGGAAAACAATGGGAGCAAATTGCATTTGCATTTCGTGCAATTAGAAGCAGCTCTAATGGGCTGATTAGGGAGATCGCCAGCTGGGGGTGGTGCTGGCAGGTAAAGCCTGGGAAGCCTCCCCGCTCCCGCCCCCAGTGAAGCGGGGTGTCCACCCCTGCAAAGAGAAATAACACGGTGGAGGGGCGTGTGTCCGCGCAGCTCGGAGCGGGCCAGTCCGCGCCGCGGGGCCAGCCCGACCAGGAGCTGAGGGGTGCAGGTGCGCCGGAGGATTTCAGGGACGGCAGCAAGTGACAGTGTGGCTCTCCTCGGGGTGCCTGGGCGGCAATCCGGAGTGGCTCCGGATTCATCCTACCCCCTCCACCGTCCTGGCAAGGGCAGCCGGAGCAGGCTTGGCCCCGGGAGAGGGTCTTGTGGGGAGTGAGGTGAGGGGGCACAGGCCCCGGGCAGGTGAGATCCGTCTGCCCGGCCCCTGGCCGCACCGCGGGGGCGCGGGTCAGGCCCACGCGCTCCCAGCCCGCCCTTCCCCGCAGCCCAGCCGGGGCATCCCCGGGGGAGGGGCGGGGCCGCCAGCTGTCCCTGATCCGGGGTCCCCGCTCCCTTCACAATGCAGGGGCCTCTCTGCAGCGTCTCTGCTGTGTAATTAGCTCCCATTAAACCTCGCCCTGGTTGTTACCCGCTCCCCATCCACCCCCGCCCCG